TAACTTTGAAACTTGAACCTTAAATTTAATTCACAAGATATTTTTTATTTATTGGTAAATCTAACTTAGAATTGTAGTTATTGATAATGATTGCTTATATAAATTGAAATAGTTTTGTTTCAAAATTTTCATTCTTAAATTTAATCCAATAATCATTACTCTTATTTTCGGCATTCAAGATGGTTGACATTTAGAATTGAGAAATTTAAGCGTTTAAGAAATGTCCATATGGTTGCCTTATTACAAAAGAATATTATATTAAGAAGAGGTGGTTATTTTAATGGAAATCAAATCTTGACCACAATTTTTTGAGGATAATGTATATTTATAGTATATTTTTGTTAAATAAAATGAATGAGAGGAAAAAATTTTGAATCAATCAAAAAAAAAAAATTTCTCCCGTCCTCTCATGTTTATTATCCTCAACCAAAATATATGACTAATGGTGCACAAGGCTTGATTCTAGATAATTAGGAAAAAAAAACGTGGAAAATACAGCTTCTGCCGGCCGAATCATTTTGGTCCAAAGTAGAAATAATGTAGGTAATCATTCAAAAGCAATAAATAAAATTAGACCATTTCAAAGTTGGCAAGATTTACTTTTTCATTTTAAAATAAAACCGTGCCCCTTGAGGTCAACCATATCCTCAACTACCACTTATAAGGCCTTGTTTTTGCTTCTTATAAGGTCCATCTTAAATGGAATAAACAATTCTAACGAATTTGGTTAATGCAACGTGGCCCGTATAAGGTAAGAATGCAATTGAGCAAAAAAAAAAAGGCTTAAGTATTGGAAAAGGACCCTAATTGTTACTAAATTCTCAATTGAGGTCCTCAACATTTATTGCACTCAATTAAGATCTTAAACTCATGTAAACTCTCAAATTAGGATCCAATTGGATGGGATCTTAACATCCGTCAATTCTCACTTGAGCGTCCGTTGCGGTCTGTTACTCCGTCAATACGTGGCATGTCAACTATACCCATAAGGCTGATTGTAAAAAAATTATATTCCTACGTGGCATGTGTGATCCTATGGCTCTTTTTTCTCCCATCTCTCTTCTTCTTTCTTATTTCACGATTTGGGGGTGAAATCCTTGGAATTTTCAATCTACCTCTCTCCCTGCAAGATATTCTTCTCCACCCAATAGTAGCCTACCCAATCCTTGGAACTTCTCCGCCCAACAGCCTGCCTCTCCCTGCAAGATCTTTTAAGGATCTATGCAGACATACTTTCATTTCAACTGAATTCCCTCAAAATTATGGACGACTTCTTCATTTTTGTTTCTGGGTTTTGCCAAGCCTGAGCCGCTCTATTTTGGGGCTGTTCTTGGTGGCGAGATGGAGTTTGGTGGCCTCGTAGAATCGTTCCTTGACTTGCCAGCAATTCATTGATGTCGAGAATGAGGTTGGAAGAGAGAGGAGTGAAGAGGGAGTGAAATAAAGAGTAAAGGTGAGATCTGAGTGGCTCAGGAATGAGGTTGCTGGTCATGGAGCGGAAGAGCATCATGGTTCCGGTAAAGGAGGCAAAGGTGGAGAGCAATGTTGATGCAGATTGGGCATGTCTGAAAGGGAAAACCTGACAGCCATTTCTGAATTGATATTTGAGAAATTGGTTGTGAAGAAACTGGGGTTGAATCTTGTGTTTTCATCTTAGTGTCTCTCTGCCACTAACAAAAGCCCACTCGATAACCACAAAAGCACCCACAACTAATCCCGTCTCCATCACTTTGAATTTAATCTTTATAGTAATGCTAGTTTAGGCTTGATTGCTGCAAAGAAAGGAAACAAAAAATTGTTCTTCTTTTCCTCAGATTCTTGCAGATTATTTTTCTACAGTCTAGTGTTGTCTAGTGCTAATTGTTTTTTTGATTTGGTATAAGTGATATGTTTGAAAATCTTATTAGGATAATGGTTGAATGGCTTCTTTTGTGATGTTATAGGATAACGGTCATGATTGTTTTAGGTAAATGGTGATTATGTGTCTGTATATTAGCCATTATGGAAATGGCTGTTTGATTGTAATCCATTCAATGCTAGTAATGAAAATTATGTCTATTGTCATTTTGATACAGAACATATTATTGGAAAACAGGGGGAAACATACAAAGGCAAGGGAAACTCTACTAAAATGACAAAGGAAAACAAGGGGAAAGAAACCTTTAATATACTGAAATTCTGAAACTGCAACTTCATACAGAAAAAAAAAAGGACATAC